TTTTTTTATGGCTGAGTAGTATTCCATTGTATATATGGTATTTTATTCTTTTTGATGTTAGTGTAAATGGCGTTTTTAAAATTTCATTATTATAATGTATAGAAATATGATTGATTTGTGTATATTGATCTTGTATACTGCAATCCTGCCAAACACATTTATTAATTCTAGTAATTTTGTTTAGTGAATTCCTTAGGATTACATACATGTGAGTTCATTTTATCTGCAAATAGAGATAACTTTACTTCTTCCTTTCCAATCCGGATGCCTTTTCTTTCACTTTGTTGCCTAAATGTCTGGCTAAAACCTCCAGTATAACGTTAAATAGAAATGGTGAGAGTGGACCTCCTTGTCTTTTTCCTGATCTTAGACGTAAAGCATCTAGCTTTTCACCAATAAGTATGATGTTAGCTGTCAGTTTCTCATAGACGTCCTTTATCACGTCAAGGAACTCCTTTTCTGTTCTTCATTTGAGTGTTTTCATCATGAAAAGGTGTTGTATTTTGTCAAATGTTTTTCCTGTGTCTGTTGAGATGATCTTGTAGTTATGCTTTTTATTGTACTAATGTAGTGTATTACATTTAGTTTTTTGATGTCAAAACAATTTGCATTTCTGGGATAAATCCCACTTGGTATAATCTTTTTAATATGCTGCTGGATTCTTTGTTAGTATTTTGTTGAAAATTTTGTATTTCTGTGTAATTTAAAAACCTATTTGGTGTCACACACAAACACAGCATACCTGCTGGAATTTCCAGTGGAAATGCATTGACTCAAGATTAAACTGTAAATAGATTTTATTCATCAAAATACACGACTGAGCAGTTATCTGATATGTTCTCTCATGTCCTCAGAACTATAACAGTCTCCCTGTACTTCTTGCAGCTGGACTTGTTTCTTCTTTCACTGAGAAAAATACAATTAATCAGAAGAGAACATTCCACCACCAAATCTACCCATGTATCTGCATGTAAATCTGATTTTACTAGATTAGGATTGGAGATGTGGAATGATTTTTCTACTAATGCCTTTAATTATGACCAAATGTGGAAGTTTTCAGCATGAAAAATAATAATGCTGATACCTGATTATAATACATTGAATAAAACAAATTCATAGTTACATATTATCAAAAATAAAAATAAAGAGAAATGTGAAAAGGCTCTTTTTATATAACATGGAAAGCTAGTAAATTAGAAATAACAAAAACAGAAAATTACCAGTTTGCAATCCCTTATGTAATAATTCAGGCAAGAATCATCAATGCATGCTAAACCGCTGGATGAAAATTATTGAATAGAATATTCATATTATCTCAATGATAATATGAAAAAAATCTCACAAATTACAAAGGAAAATGTGCCTTTACAATAGAGAAACCTGGCCATTTCCACTTTAATCAAATGATCAAATTTATCTTCTAGGTCTTCTATTGAACTTGATACTCCTATTTTTAATCTCCAAAAGCTCTTTTGTGTGCCAATTGCATTGTTTTAATAGTATCATATTCATTCCACGTTATCAAATTTCTCTGTTCAGCTGTCGAGATCTTTTCTGTTCTCATCGTTATTGCAATGTTATACTTTTAAAACATTCTTCATTAGGAATTTCTTCTCACTAGCCAGGGCCAAGACCCAGGCTTGCTGGGAGCAGAGGCCCTCCTAGTGCCCAGGAAGCCTTGTCTTACAGAGGCCCCAGCCTGAGGCTGCAGAAATCTGGGGCAGCCACCATCAAGAAGCCCCTCTCAGGGCCTGAACTCCTTTGCCAGCATGGATTCCTCCGCTGGGACTGCATAACTAAAGCAGTTGCAGTCTTTTTTTACAGCTTTGCCCCCCCAAAATGACTTGTAGTTGTGTGTGCACAACTACACTCCGCCCTATTACAATAAAAACCAAATCTAGTATATTTTGAAAAAAAAATTCTTCACCATCATTTTGCTCTCGGAGACATTACAATTTTAAACAGCAGTGTTTACAAATACTTGACAGAAGTAATTCTATGTACTTTAGAGAAGATAAGTTTTATTGTCATAATTATGTAAAATTTATGTAATAAATTCCCAACATCATGACAGTTTTATATAATGTATTCAGAAGCATAGACACTACATTATTTGAGAAATGTCCATATGCAGAATTGAGTACTGTGTGGTTTCATTTGTTTTCACTTTGACAAGTTTCATACTCCAAAGTGAACACAATTATTATTTAAAATTTTCCATAAAAATTTTGGAATCACATTCCTTACAAGAGTTTCTACAAGAATACTTTTTAAAATACATCAACGTGATAGGTTCTTCCTGGTAGGAATTTCCCAGTTTAAGAACATTTGGGCTATATTGTTCACCGTTCCACATTCAGTACACTTATAAGATTTTTCTCCCCTGTGCAAGTTCTATAATGTGTCATTAGCTCTTACTTCCAGACAAAAGCCATTCTACATTAAGCACATCCACAGGTTTTCCCTACATTGAATCCTCCTATGTGTGAGTTCTGGTTTCTTACTCAGTCTTTTCCACATTCATTGCTTTGATGAGGTTTTTCACTAGTATGAATTAAATGACCCTTAATGAAATGTGCATTATAGGAGATGGCTTTCCAACTTCCAGTATGTTCAGAGGGATTTTCTCCATCAGGAATATTTTGCTATCTAATGAGTTCCGGCTTCATGATGAAGGCTCTCCCACACTTCTATCCATGGAGTTTCTTACCAGTCTATATTAACTAATGCTTAATGAGATGTGATTTCTGAGAGAAGGCTTTCCAACATGCAGTACATTCATAGGGTTTCTCTCCAGAATGAATCCTCTGATGTCTGATGAGTTTTGATTTCCTCCTGAAGGCTTTCCAACATTCAGTACATTCACAGGGCTTCTCTCCAGTGCGAATTTTCTGATGTTCCCTGAGAACTGACTTACATGAGAAGCTCTTTCCACATTCAGCAAATTCATAGGGTTTTTCCCCAGTATGAATTTTCTGATGTGTCTTGAGACCTGCTCTATGAGAAAAGACTTTTCTGCATTCTGCACATTCATAGAGTTTCTCCCCAGTATGAATCCTGATGTCTAAGAAGTTCTATTTTACTTCTGAAGGCTCTTCCACACTCTTTACATTCATGAGGTTTTTCACCAGTATGAATTACCTGATGCTTAATGAGGTGTCCTTTCTGGGGGAAGGCTTTCCAACATGCAGTACATTCATAGGGTTTCTCCCAGAATGAATTCTCTGATGTCTGATGAGTTCTGGCTTCAAGCTGAAAGCTTTCCCACACTCATTACATTCATGGGGTTTCTCCCTAGTATGAATTATCTGATGCCTAATGAGGGGTGCTTCTGGGGAGAAGGCTTTCCCACATTTGGTACATTCATAGGGTTTCTCTCCAGTATGAACTGTCTGATGCTTTTGGAGATCTGACTTACATGAGAAGTTTTTCCACACTCGGCACATTTACAGGGTTTCTCCCCAGAATGAATTTTCTGATGTATCTTGAGATCTACCTTACGAGAAAAGCTTTTTCCACATTCTGCACATTCACAGGGTTTATCCTCAATATGATTCCTCTGATGTCTAATAAAAGTGCTGACTTCTTTCTGAAGGCAACCCCAAACTTTTTACTGTCACAGGGTTTCTCACCAGTATGAATTAACTGGTGCCTTACAAGATGTTCTTTCTGAGAAAGGCTTTCAAACATTTAGAATATTCATAAAATTTTACTTGAGTGATTTCTCTGATGGACACTGAGCTCTGACCCACCACTTCTAAGTTGACATAAATGGTTGCCATGGTTTGCCACAACCTGCCCATCTTCTATAATGGAGCCAAGTCAAGCATCTCTTGTGAACTGATCCATCATCTCAAAAGGGAATAAATATTCTTCAGAAATCCCCACTTTTGTGGTTTTATGTCTAAATTCTTCATCTGAAAGGAGAAGGAAGATAAAATTGGCTCAACAAGTATAAAATCAGACAGAAATCAAGCTATGCAGCCCATAGTTAGATGTACTACTCTTCTGACTGCTGGTCCAGGGCTTGGACACAGTTGGTGCTTAATAAACAACTGAGAAAAAAATCAATATATCTTATCCTTTTAGAGCTCCTCTTCATTGAATCTGTATTGACCATTATTTCCTATTTCCTGCCCTTATTGTCCTCATGTCAAGACACTTCTTGTCTTGCCTCTGAAACTATATTTCCCTTGAACTCTAATATTAAATCTTGACACTTATGGTTTCTATTTTCTGTGACTATTACAAACTTAGGACTTCCTCAAATTTTATTTTTATTTCCTTAAAACAAACAAAACAAGTCAACCAATAACCTTGCTACACTGTCCTGCCACAATGTAAAAATTATATACATAATTCCTGTGCTCCAAGTCCATCTGTAACACTCCTAGGCCAACAGATCCAATTATCGACAGTATTTCACTAGCCTAACAAATATATTCTGTTCCAGTAGGAGCTGAGTACTAATTATCCCATACAAAGTCAGGTTTATCACAAGTTTGTGCATGTGCACATGCCCCTCTGCACCAGTTAGCTTGCTTTTCTTTCTCTTGCCTACTCATTCAAAATGTATATGTGTGAGGATGTGTATCCGGAAAAAATTAGTGTACTACACTCTGAAATAATACTTTTTCCCAACCTCCTCATACTACCTTAAAAGGTTTCCCATGAACTCCTCAAGCAGTCACTGTAATGCTGATTTTGGCAATTTCATACTCTTGAAGACATTTGTTCTGAGCTGCTCAATCTGCGCTGACTGCTCTTCAGAGCCACACATCTGTGACCATGGGATCCACCTCCTCCTTCATCCTAGAGATTCTCTCACTTCTCTTTTTGCTGGATCCTGCTACCTTGATCCCATGTCTCCCTTTTCCAGTAGCTTCCTGATAGAAGTATGAATAGGAAATAAATTCTTTGAGACCACGCTTGTCTGAAAATGCCAGTATCCTATAACAAAACATAACTAATAGCTTTGTATGGTATAAAAATTCTAGGCTGGAAATTATTTTCCCTCAGATTTTTGAAGGTATTACTCTTTCATTTTCCAGGTTCCATTATTGCTGTTCAAGTCCAAAGCCAATTTGGTTGCAGGTCTATTTAAGTCCTTTTCTCTTCCTCTTGGGAAGCCTCTAGGGTATTCTTTTGTAATAAGCATTTTGAAATTTTATCATCTCGGTTAATGTCAGTTTACTTTCATCCACTTCGCTAGCCATCATTTAATTGACTTTTTCAATAGGAAAATTAATTTTCTTAAATTTATTTCTGTAACAGTTTTCTTCCTCCATTTTCTCTCCTCTCTCTTTCTGGAATTGCTATAATTCAGAAGTCAGGCCCCTGGACTGACCTCCTCATTTTCCTACTTATCTCCTATTTCCTATCTCTGTCTTCTGTTGTGACTTGATCTTCAAGTTGAGACTTTAGAAATATTTTCTGAATGGATCAGTAAGATCCTTCCCATGCTTAGCTCCACAAAGAAGCATTCAGTATAATTGGTTAAACACCTTAAGTTCTCAGTATTGGAAAAGGAAAAGCTAAGATATGAATTCTAATAAGCAATAAAAAGCCTATTAGACATAACATAGACCAAACAAATACAAAACAGACATGGTGCTTATGATCATTAAATGTGATGGGAAATCCAAGAGTGTGCAAAGTGGAGTGGGAGAATTAAGAAGTATTTCAAAGAGGAGATAAAAACTGCGCTTAAATTGCTACACAGCACACGCCATAGACAAAGGCCAACACATTCAGAGAAATACTGTCTGCGGATAGCAGTAGGAAAATAGTAAAATATAGGAGAGAGTGAACTTTGGGAACCAGTGACATAAAATTTTGCATTAGCAACCTGGGATATTATGAAGATTCTTGAAAGAAGAGAATTTTAGAAGTATTATACCAGGCATTAGGGAGTCACTGTTAGTTTATTTTGTTAGAGTAGAACAGGATAAAATGGGATGTTCTCAGTGAAGGAATCTGACAGTATCATCTGAGGAAAGAAAAGAAAAGAAAGAAAGAAAAGAAAAGCAAGAAAGAAAGAGATCAGCAAATCCAAACAGGAATTAGAATTTTTTAGGCAAAGGATTCCATCTTGTATGATACACTGGGAACTGACAGGATAGGCCCAGAACATCCAACTAAAATAAACTGCTGCAGAGAGATTACTAAAAGAAGACTTTTTTAAAAAAAGGAATTAAGAAACAGTAGAATCTGATGAAGACAGAAGTGAGCAGGTTTTCTGATGGGGTTATGATGATATTAATCCTGACACCCTAAAAATAAAGGAAGTAGGACATTCCAGAGGAGCTGTTCTGGAAAGAATACATGTGTCTACAGTACAGATGAGAGAAAGGAACTGAAGATATCAATATGTAGTCATCAGGACACAGACAAAAGCCAGCATAAACTTTCAGGAAAGAGGAATCCATTGGGAGGAATACATTTGAAGAGAAGACAAGAGAGGAAAAATGAGGCTGGGGCACTTCATGCCAGAAGAGCAGGAAACAGGTCAGTCAACTAATTAAGGCCATTCCAGCAAGCCAAGTCAGAGGATATTTCAGAAAGGACTTTTAAAACCAACAAACAGCCTAAATTAACTCTTAGCATACAGCAGTGACGACCTTAAATGTAAACACTAGAGACACAGGGACATGGAGACGCAGGAGTGCTGAAGCTCACAGCAGTGACCCGAAACAGCATGCACAGGAGCCTCACTGCAGACGGCAAGTAGTGAGCATTTCACAGGGACACAAATGTGAAGGATAAGAAGGGCCTGGAAGCATTAGGAGTGTCCCACAGAGTGATCTGGAAAGAAGGCAGACCCATAAGTGTCTCGATGCACAAAGGGATGACTCTAAAATCACAGTGTGAGGGAGAGAAAACAGGGCTGCGGGGGGAAGGGTGGGCTACATCAGAGGCAAGGCTCCAGACGAGGAGGCCACAATGAGCTCCTGCATGCGGGTAAATGTGTCCACCTACTGCCAAAGCCAGGAGGCAGCTGGTGAGAGATGTACAACTAAGGGTCACTGGGGTTCTGTGAGACTCTTGCTTAGAGCCTCAAAAGGCCTAAGTAACCTTCATAAGGTGTCAGCCTCTTCCTTGCTCAGAGGCATTTTTGTTTTTTTATTTTACAGGGAAAGATATGCCCTGAGCTAACATCTGTTGTCAATCTTCCTCTTTTTTTTCCTCCCCAAAACCTCGGTGCATGGTTGTATATTCTAAGTCCTTCTAGTTCTTCTATGTGAGCTGCCACCACAGCATGGCTACTGACAGATGGGTGGTGTGGTTCTGAGACCAGGAAACAAACCTAGGCTGTGAAGCGGTGAGAGCACCAAACTTTAACCATTAGGCCCTCAGGACCGGCTCTCACCTAGGTTTTAATTCCTTGTCTTCTATGTGTCTGATTCAGCACTCACTCACCTGAGTAGGATCACTTGGAATTCTCCCTTCTAACACTCCTGGATCTTCCCCTTGCTCCATCTTGAAGATCATATATGGTTTAGGGCCTGGAGACCCTGTTGATGAGACATCACCTCAGATTTGGTGTTAAGGGTCAAATAATAAAATTTCCATTTTGCACAATTAGCAAAAGAAAGACATTTACTGGTAAGACAGAAATATAAATTCAGTCTCCAAAGGGAGACTGTTAAATTTTGAGAACTTAAGGGAAAATTCAATATATCCTTCTTCACTTCCCTACCCCCACCCCTGCCTCCACACAGCATCAGCAAGAGAAGGCAAAGCCATGGTCATCGGGCACAGTCCAGCCTGCACAGGACGTTGGCACTCACCCACGGGCATCAGGTGGCTGCAGTTCTCAAGCACCATGTCCCTGTACAGGCTCCTCTGTGCAGGGCTCAGCTGCTGCCACTCCTCCCAGCTGAAGGCAACAGTCATGTCCTTGAGGCACACTGATCCCTGTGACAGATAACCCCTCTTTAATGAGGTGGTCTGCACTGGCTGATGAGGAAGGAGGTGTCAAAGGGATTTTACTCATCTCCACCTTGACTCACCACATAGGAGTACCTCCCAGGCGTCTGCTTTTCATTTTAATTTGTGAGACAAACCCAAGATCTGGGTGTTAGGTGTGAATGTTGCTACTGAGGTGTCATTGATCCTAGGCTGTTGTAGTGAATAGAGCTAGAACTTAAATTTTTCCAAATACTATAGGTCTAATTTAAATTTAACACAGGTTTTTTTCTTAATCCTTCAAATGGTATATATCTTCTTTCTCTTAAGTTGAAAATCATATTTACTGATACTACTAATAAATTTACTTATATGGTTTCTAAACCAGATACATATAACAGTTTCAGAGTTATAGACCAAATTATGAATAATAGGCTTACTAAATGCAGTTTAACATCTCTTTGAAGTTCTTTTTTGTCCAAAGACTATATCCTCCTGAGGATGTATGATCAAGTCACTGTGTTCAAATGTCATTAGAAATATCTTTTATCAATTTGGAATCTATGCAGTTTAAAAACTCCAAGCAGGACAACTACAAAAAAGAGCATACTGAGACACATGTTAGTCAAATTACTA